GACTGGAGATGGCCTTGGAGGCCAAAAGGAGGTGAAATCATGATATGAGATAATATAAGAGGGAGCAGAAAAGAGGAGCCCAGGATAAAGCCTTGGAAGTAAAGCAGCCAATTAGTGGCTTTAACCTGGAGAAAGATCCAGCAAAGGAGACTGAGAAAGAGTAATAAGATAGGTAGGAGGAGAACCAAGAGAAAACACTGTTGGCAAGACACCTGGAGAGGAGAGAGTGTCCAAGAGAAAAAGATTAATCAAGCATTTCAAATACTGCAGAGAGTTCAAAGAGGAGTGGGATTTAGAAAAGGCCAAAAGACCGGGCAATTAACAGAGCAATGGCAACTTTGGAGAGGAAATTTTCAGTGGAATGATGGGGTCAGAAGCCAGATTACAAAGAGTGAGGAAGAGAGTGAGAGGAAAGGAGGTGGAAGCAACCATAATAGGTTTCTCAAGGAGTTAAGCCATAAAAAGAAGAGATATGTGATGGGAGTGGGACTGGTTTAATCAAGTTAGAATTTTTTTTTTAAGGATGGAGAACATAAGCTAGGCAGCTGGGAAAGAGTCAATAGAGAAGGAGAAATTGGAGAGAAAGAGAGAAAGAGAGAGAGAGTAGAGGGGAGCAATCATCTGGAGAAGGGATAGAATAAAATCAAGGGTTTCAATAGCTAGGAAAAGGCCACTTCTTCCTGTGAGATAGGGATGAAGGGATAAATATAGGAGGAAGACATCAGAATGACGTGAGATGAAGAAGGGAGAAGAGAGAGTTCTCATAAATAGCTTCAGTTTTCTTTGAAGAAAAGTGTGGGGTAAGGTTCTATACTGAGAAAGTGATGAGAAGGGGGGAGTGATAGGATGTCTGAGGAGAAATTAAAAGTTTGGAAAAGCCATTGTGGTGATTGGGTTAGTGAAATAATTAGGGAGGTGCATAAGGATTGTGTTATTTCAGTTAGGGACCAATCGAGATTATAGAGAATAAATTTATACTGTACCCAGTCAACACAGTTTTGTAATTTCCTCTAACTCCATTTAAGCTGCCTTCAAATAGGAGCAAAGGCAATGCATGATGAAAGTAATCTAGGGAACAAGGGACTCAGATGTAGAAGACAGCCTAAAACTGAACTATTTACCAAGGGGTCAACTACTTACCGAGGAGGAAGAATATATACCAGAGCAGAGATGATGGATGACCAGAAAAAATCTGGGGGGTGGAGGGATTGGAAGTCATTCTGAGGTTGAAGATGAAGCACAGAGTTAGGGGTTATTAGGCAGGGGGAAAAGTGGAATGATGAAAGATTATGAAAAAGAAAGGAATACATTATTCCATTTAAGGCACACAATGCCTAGCAATGAAAGGCAGTATGAGTTGCGGAGAAACAACCAGCCTCTGAGTCAGAAAGATCCAAGTTCACATTTTCCTTTGGACAGATTCTGGCTATGTGCCCTTGAACAGGTCATTTAAATATTAGTGGCCCCAGCCAACTCTCCAAGACTATAAGTTGCCAGAGTTTCTTTCTTGGATGGGCAAAGAGAGTTTTCTCACTATGTCAATGAAATCACTGATCCTGCCCCAGGACTCTGCCAACTGATTCTGTTCATTTCAGGGGCAACAAACAAATAAACAAACAAACAAACCGAAAAGCCTTACCTCACAATAACCAGGTACTATTATCCCTATTTTACAGATGAGAAAACTAGGACTCAGGGAGGTTGATGATAATAATAATAATAGCTAATATTTATATAGCACCTACTATGCACCAAGCACTCTGCTAAGCACTTTACAAATATTATCTCATTTGATCTTTAAAACAACTCTAGGAGGTCGGTTCTGTTATTGTCTCAATTTTACAGATGAGGAAACTGAGGCAAATAGAGGTTAAGTGCCTGGCCCAAGGTCACACAGCTAAGAAATGTCAGAAATGGAATTTGATTCTTGGCTTCCTGACTCCAAGTCCTTCATTCTACTCATTATACCAAAGTAAGAACTTGGACTTATTGAATTATGGAAGGAAACAACTACAGAGCTCCTCAAAATTGGAATAGGAGCTGATGGTTTCCCCTTCAGTTGGGGTCTTTAAGAAAAGCTAGATGGTGACAAATATCTATTTTCTCTCCCTCTTATTTACTCACCTCCATACTGAAAAAGAAAAACAAAACTTTTTCTTTTTAAATAAATATACATGGTCAAGAAAAACTAATTCCTACAGTAGCCATACAAAAAATGTCTCATTCTGTACCCTGAATTCATCACCTATAGGTATAGAAGTGGGTAGCATGTTTCATCACAGTTCCTCTGGAATAAGGATTGGTCATCTCTCAAATCTCTCAAAGTTCAACAAGCATTCATTAAGTACCTATTGTGTAAGTGAAACTTCTGATCCGAGCCACCCTGGGTTAACAGTGACAGGAAATTGACCCACTAAAGAAGAGAAATATCCCCAAAGATAGAAATATGATTTAGAGAGAGAAGGCAACTACTGGGCCTAGGGAGTGGGCACAGAGCCCATATGCACTGCGTAAAGGATGTTCAGAGATTAGCACTTAGGGGCCACAATTACATACACTGAGTTTTTGTCAAGAATAAACACACAACAAAAGGTCAAGAATAGCAAGGGAGAGAATCAATGTAAAAAATATGAAGGAAGGTGGCCTAGCAGTACCAGATTTCAAACTATATTATAAAGTGATAATTAACAAAATAATCTGATACTGGCTAAGAAATAAGGTGGTGGATAAGTGGAATAGATTAAGTACACAATGCAAATAGGAAATGACCATAGTAATCTAATATTTGATAAATTCAAGCTTTTGGAACAAGAACTCAACATTTGACAAAAATTGCTGGGAAAATGAGAAAGCAGTTTGGGAGAAACTAGGCATAGACCAACATCTCACACCATATACAAGGATAAAGTCAAAATGGATAAATGATTTAGATATAAAGGGTGATATCCTAAGTAAATTAAGGAACCATGAAAAAATGTCAGATCTATGGATAAGAGAAGAGTTTATGACCAAAAAAGAGATAGAGAAGATCACGGGAAGTAAAATGGATAATTTTATCATGTGAAATTAAGAGGTTTTTGTACAAACAAAACTGATGCAGGCAAACTTGGAAGGAAAAGCAGAAAACTGGGGGAGAAATCTCATCTCTTAAATATTTAGGGAAGTGAGTCAAATTTATAAAAATCAGAATCATTGACCTATTGATAGTCAAAGGATATGAACAGGTCGTTTTCAGAAAAAGAAATCAAAGTTATCAATAGTCGTGTAAAATGTTCCAAATCACTACTGATTAGAGAAATGCAAATGAAAACAACTCTGAGGTACGACCTCACACCTATCAGATTGACTAACATGACAGAAAAGAAAAATGACAAATGCTAGAGATGTAAAAAAAAACAAAAACTGGTGCATTGATGCAATTTTGGTGGAGGTGAGAACTAAGCCAATAATTCTAGAGAATAATTTGGAACTACGCCCAACGGACTACAAAACTGTGCATACCCTTTGACCCAGAAGTACTACTGCTAGGTCTCTATCCTAAAGAGACCAAAGAAAAGTTAAAATGACCTATTCGTACCAAAATATGTATAGCAGCTCTTTTTTGTAGAGACAAAGAATTGGAAACCAACAGGATATCCATCAATTGGGGAGTGACTGAACAAATTAACGGCTTGTTATCGTGATAAAATATTATTGTGCTATAAGAAATGGCAAACAGGATAGTTTCAGAAAAACCTGGGTTGTTGCTTCTGCTGCTGCTGCTGTTGTTATTGAGACTTATATGGAACTATGCAACATGAAACGAACGGAACCAGGAGAACATTGTACACAGTAACAGCAATTTTGTAAGGATGATAAACTGTGAAAGATTTAGCTACTCTAATCAAAGCAATGGTCCAAGACAATTACAAAGGATACATGAAGAAAAATTGTATCTACTTTTGAAGAGAGAACTGATGAACTCGGAATGTTGCCTGAAGCACATGTTTTTATTTACTTTACTTTTATAGATTTTTTGGTTTGTGTTTTCTTCTGCAACATGACTAATACAGAAATGTTTTGCATGAAAAAAAAACCTTCCTTATATTATAGCAAGTCTACCAGATGTATTGATGACTATAACTGTAGGTATTACTACTGAGTCTTCACTTTAAAAAGTGGCATCTTGAGGCAGCTAGGTGGTGCAGTGGATAGAGCATTGGTCCTGGAGTCAGGAGGACTTGAGTTCAAATCCAGCCTCAGACACAAAACATTCACTAGCTGTGTGACTCTGGGTAAGTCACTTAATCCCATTGCCTAGCCAAAACAAACAAAAAAAGTGGCATCTCTAATTAAAAGTTTTGCACTTCTGCAAAAAGAAAAAGAGTAAATATACACACACTCAGCCTTTCTTCTCCCCCTTTGGCTCCTGATTAACCTCTAGATGTAGAGACCACATTTTGCTAGCAGTAGTCACTACCTTGTGTTTTCCAAGGTATTTACTGTTGCAGCTCTGTGGGCTGCATTTGGAAATCCCACTGACTGACTGTGAGGTCCTTGAGGTCCTTTGCAGCCTGGGCAGTAATTTCAGGAGCAGATGGACATTCTAGGGACAGTGTAGAGGGTAGAGAGGGTTTAGGCGAACTGGGTCTACCTCTTCTGAAAGGTAAGGCAAGGGGAATTCTCGGGTTATTGGGAGTAACCTAGAGCTTCCAAAAGAAAACAAGTGTTTTAGGATGCAGTGGAAAGAGTCCTGGATTTGGAGCTAGAGGACCAGGGGCTCAAATCCTACCTCTGCTACTTTCTAGTTCTGTAACTTTGGACAAGTCACCTAACTTAGACTTGTTGCTCATCAATAACATGAAACTGATTTCTGAAGTCACTTCCCTTGTAAATCTACCAGTTCTAGGTGGAGACAGGAAAACTGTCTTGCCTTCCCTTTTAGAGCAAAGGTTGTGAGAAATCAACAGATAGATGCAGGAAACATCATGTGACCAGCAGCAAAAACCCAACACACCCATAGAGAAGTATTTCTAGATCATGTTTGCCCTTCTTCCCCAGCAGCAGCAGAAACCTCTGAGCCTGGGTCACTAATCAAGAGGCATGGCTTTCCTTCCCAGTCTGTCCATGGAAACCTGGACTTTACTAGTGGTTTGTGGCACTCTGCTGATATTGTAAGTCTAGTCTCCCTTTATTTCTGTTCCAGGGTTTGGGTTTGGGTTAAGAAAGTGACAAAACCCACCTATTCATAGCTTGGGAATTTGTTGCCCTATGAGAGAGAGCACATGTGCTCCAAACAGATCAGGCTTCCTGCTTCTCTCAAGGATTAGCATTCTTTTGGGGAATTAGCCCTTGGCAGTGGGAACAGTGTGTTGGAAGGAGGGAGAGAGACAGAGGGAGGAAGACAAACTCCAGTTCTCTCTCACAGAGAGGCATGAGGAGGTAAAGAGCTGGGGGAATTTACATCATGACACAACTGGATTTTCTCTTTCTTCTTCTTAGATCATGGGATCATAGATTTAGATCTGGAAGGGTCATAGATTCCAAATGCCTCATTTTACAGATGAGGAAACTGAGGCCCAGAAAGGTTAAGACACTTGTCCAGGGCAACATAGCATGTGAGCCCAGGTATTCTTGCCTCCAAATCCATTGTCCTGTTCTTGTACTAAAGATGGAAGGGGCTTTCAGTTATCTAGTCCAACTCCCTCATTTTAACCATTGAGGAAACTGAGACCCAGAGAAGTTAAAGGACTTGCCTCGGACCGCATAAT